TAGGGTCTGATCCCTGATCCCACAACCATGCCTCCTGCCACACGTGTGTGATATGGCAGGAGGCAAAATTGTTGGGATCCCAAATCAGATCCCATTGCATCTTAAACTGAACATGTGTCAACGGCCTCAGTTTCCATACTAATTTCCTCTTGTCACCCTCTTACTCCATTTCATGTCCAGTTCTAGTTAATCACTTCCTTCCCTTTCTATTCCCTCAGATTCCTGGTTCAATTTACACTACCTACCTGATTATTGAGGCAGCTCAGGGTCCTGGAATTGGGGCTGCCTCCGACCTATTGAAAAATGCTCCAGTACAACCTGGCATCAGGGAAGCCTCCTGCACCCTTTAAAGGTCCAAACACAAGGAGATGGCCTGAGGGACTGGCTCCCTACATCAACAGTTGCACAACTGGGATCTGAACATTTGTATGCCTGATCCCAACTCATGACATGACAGGATTTGAGATTTTAAAGACTGGGGATAAAATTCCAAAATGCAAAATCATTTTAATGTCTGCCAAGGACCATAAAGATTGAAATACAAGATCTGAGATAGCCTTTGGTCACTGTGGTGTTTAAAACAACAATTATATGTGCCACAGGTGAAAAAATATTAATAATAGTACCTTACATCCGTACAGTGATTGACTTGAGGAACTAAAAAAGATTTACAGACATTAATTATTCCAAACAAAAATGGTTGTGTGGTGATGAAATATATTTGCTTCTAATGGGTCCATACCAAAGGAGACAAGATATTAAATAACTTGTTTCACATCAATTTATTAAAATCAACTCTCATACTCTCCAGTGTGCTTTTTGTATGGTATATCACAGTGGTCCTCAACCCTGTGACCCCTTCTGGCTTCAGCAATTAACAATGGCAAATATCTGGACCCCTAGTTATCCCTTGAGAGCCAAATTCAGTCAACAGGCCAGAAGTTGAGCATCACTTTTATATCCAGTTTGCAAGAACTTATCAAATTAAACGTGCATTTTTCTCAGGTAAAGGATATCACAAAAATGAAAAGACATGGTTGTAAGAAAAAGAGGTTATTTGGTACTTAAGAACCTTATCTTTGAGATCTCGTGGTGATCAGGAGGGGTCCCAGATGACTGGAAAAAGACAACTATAGTACCTATATTTAAGCAAGGTAAGAAAGAGGATCTGGGGAACTACAGACCAGTCAGCTTCACTTCAGTCCCTGGAAAAATCATGGAGTAGATCTTCAAGGAATCCATTTCTAAGCACTTGGAGAAGAAGTTGATTAGGAACAGTCATCATGGATTCACCAAGGGCAAGTCATGCCTGACCAACCTGATTGCCTTCTATGATGACATGACTGGCTCTGTGGATGTGGGAAAAGCAAGGGATGTAATATACTTTGACTTCAGCAAAGCTTTTGATACAGTCTCCCAGAAGCTTTTGATACATTCTCGCAAGCATGCTAAGGAAGTAAGGGTTGGATGAACAGACTGTAAGGCAGATAGAAAACTGGCTAGATCATTGGGCTAGATCAAAGGATAGTAATCAATGGCCTGATGTCTAATTGGCAGCTGGTATTAAGGGGAATGCCCCAGGGGTCGATCCTGGGACCAGTTTTGTTCAATATCTTTATCAACGATCTGGAAGATGGAATGGAGTGCACCCTCAGCAAATGTGACACCAAGCTGAGGGGAACAGCAGATACACTGGAGGGTAGGGCTAGGATTCAGAGACCTAGTCAAATTGGAAAGTCTTTAGTTGAGAGAGATATTACACAAAGTTTGGGACACAAAATGCCCTACCTCAGTTCTAGGAAAAACACAGATACAGTCTTATCTAAATAAGTAGATAGAACAATGACTTTTGTTTAACACTATTATGTAAATGAAAATAGTCACATAAAAAGGAAAGTCAGCAGTAAATCCATGGAATAAGTTATAAGAGGCATTTATAGACCAAGTGAAAAAAGTGAAATAAAGAAACCTAATTAGGTAAGAATAAGACCATTGAAAAAACTAAGAAAAGTACTATTAACTGTGGAGTACAGAAAAGTTAGGAGAGAGAACAGGTTAATGGTAATGTACAATTAGACCATTGTTCAAGTCTATGCTTTTGGGGTATGTGTTCCCAGAAAAGTTAAGTATTCTCAGGGTCATCTTCTAAAAGTATTGTGTAGGTTTCCCTTAAAGACAGGTCAGAGGTAGAATGGCTGTTCTGTTAAAAATGTTCTCCCACTTGCAACTGGGTGGCCCAGTCCTCTATTTTGATGTGAGAGTTCATTAAATAATTACAGCCAATGATAAAAAGGGGTCAAAAGTATAGATACCTATTCCCAGCCTCTCAAATGCAAGCTTCCAAACAACCTTTGCAACAGCACTAATCTTTTCATCATCTTTAGACTCTTCCTAAAAAAACATAAAGCCCACCAAACACATTGCCACTATCTCCCCACAATGAAACCACTATAATCCATAGATCCTACTTGTTTTTACCACATGTGACATGCCTCATCCAATGTGCCAACTGCTATCATAGAAACAATGTAGGTGAAACTAAAGGTGCAGACAGAAGTGACAATTTCTGCCTGATCTGGCCCCTGAAAGCACTTGACAGCTGTGACCAAAGACAAATGCAGAGTGCTTTAAAAGGGCCCAGTTTCACCACAGTCTGAACCATCATTATGTAAGGGTTCAGATGAAGATGCTTCAGAGTGGAGTACCTTCATTAATTTCTGTCTCCATGCACCAGGAGCATGGCTTGGCTGATGCAGCCCAGCACTGCTCCTAGTGCTGTTTTCAGAATGGAGGAAGCTCAATCTGAGGGATGCCCAGCTGGTGCTAGAGGTGGGGCAGGTAAATTAGAGTCCCCCAAGGTGGGTTCCAATCCACTCACTGCCCACCATTCCAGCACAGTTGGGACTGGATTTTCCTCCCTTGCCTTCTCCCCCTTTCATCCTGAGACAGAATGGAAGCAGGGAGGGGGTGAGGGGCTAAGCTTGGGGAAGAGCCTATAGCAGGGGTGGGCAATTATTTCTGGCAGTGGGCTGCTTACTGAGTTTTGGCAAGCCATTGAGGGTCACATGACAGGTAGCCAGGGGCAGATAAATATTAATTTTCTAAATTTTTTAGGGGTCCCACGGGCCAGATAGAATGGCCTGGCAGGCCGCATCTGGCCCATGGACCACATTTTGCCCACCTCTGGGCTACGGAAACACAGCCTCTCTCCCTGGTTCGGCTCCAAATTGAAGCTTGATCCCCTACCCTCCTGACCCAACAGCTAATGTCTGTTAGGTCTGGAGGATCAGTCTAACTCATGGCACTTTCTGTAAGTGCCATGGGCTAGACCCGGGACATGCATTTCTGTTTTGACCTTAAGGGCATTTGTGCACATGCTTGCACCGCAGCGTTGTGTGCCTTTAAAAGTGCCTGAGGCTGCGGCGCATGCATTTGTATAAACAGGGAAATGTGCGTCAGCACTGATAACGTGGCGGTGGCACGCTTTTGAACTAAAACACATTGAAGGTGTTTTAGTTCAAAAGTGCACCGGCACCATTTTCTCAGCACTGATGTGCATTTCACCATTTATACAAATGCATGTGATACAGCACCAGGTATGTTAGCTCATGTGTGGAGCAGACTCTATTAACTGAGTTTGCTCTGATGTGCTAGATTTCTGGCGTGTTGAAGTAGACAAATGTATGTGTATAAATGCCCAATATCACTACTCCACTCTAGAATGAACTGTCATAGAAAAATTATAAAAGGACAGACATACCAGTGGGAGAACACTTCACAGAACAACAATTCCATCTCTGACCTCAAAGCCCTATCTTCAGGGAAAGTCTAAACAGTACCTTTAGGAGACAGGCCTGTGAACAAAAAACACATAACTTTTCTGGACACAAAAAACTTGTGGATTTAACACAAACAATGGCTTTATAGCTCAATGTAACATTACAATACTAACTTCTCTATTTCATGAATTATAATAATACTCCTCTTCCCTTAGAACAGTCCAATTCTTTTCAGTAATTAGGTATATCTATTTCCATTTGTTTTACTTGATCTGTAACTGTCCCTTATAACTGCTCCTTGTGTCACAGGGTTACTGCTCACTTTCCTTTTTAAGTGAGCATTTCCAAGATGAGGTTAAACAAAAAAATATTGTTCTATATGGTATACTAGTTAAATGAGGCTGTAACTGAGTCTTTCTGTTCAAGCAAGGGCAATTTTGTGCCAAAAACCTTGTTTGACATCTCTCCCAACTATACAGTGAGTCCAAGAAAAAGCTATAACCAAACAAATCCAGCTTCTCAGATACTCCGGGGACCATGACAGCTACCACAACACTATTCTATTTTTGTCCCAGGTAAATTTATCTGTACTTCTTAATGTACTTTCTTATATACAATGAGAATTCCACTCTTGATGATTTTTTTAAAATTCTTTGTTTTAACAATAAAACATTTCATGTTTACGATGTTAGATTTATCCAATATATAAATATGATGTGATCATTTCACTTTAATATCACATGGATACTGAGTTAGTAATCATCAGGGACCCTGGCTTTCCTCTGGCAAAAAAATGCCCAATATTCAGATTTTAAAAAGTAACCCCAAATCCACTTTTTCCAGGATAAAAATGAAACACTGCTATATTGTGACATTTCATTTTAAACATGGAAAAATGTGAATTTTGGGTTACTTTTTTAAATAAAAAAATTGGAGATTCTTTTTATCAGAGAAAATTAGGATCTCTAGTAATCATAATGGTCTATTTTGCACTTAAGATAGTTTGCAGTCAGTGTTGTAGTGTTGGAGGACTTTTTACTTTGCATCGGAGACAAGAAGTAATTTCAAAACTTTAAGACATGCCCTCTTAGCTGTTATTTATATTCTTTTATCGCCTAAAATAAGTTGTGTTTCTGGTAATTCACATTATGTACCGCAAGCATGTCTTTTGGGTTTCCTGTTTTGGGCTGGCTCATTAAACCAAATGAAAGGGCTCAGAAAAAAGACTGAATTGGCAGCTTTATTGTATTTCAATTTGTTTTTCAATGACACAAAGAGAAGAAATGTTGATAAGCATGATGTATAAATGCAGAGCATCACAAGAGTCTAACTGCACCAAAAAAAGTGCCATCTCCATCCAGTGATATTTTGGCTCTTTTCCGTGGTATTGTAAGTTGAAGCTCATCCCCTTCTTCTAGTTTTGCAATGCCTAGCAAGAGATTTGAAATATCTTTATATAAATATTTTACTTATAGATCTACCAGATGGTATCAAATAGATTACTCTTTTTGTGTCAGAAATCCAAGTAAGCACTAATACTATGGCCCACCATACCTTTGAATCTCTCTCCTTGATTTTAATAAGCTGCTTTATTAAATAAAATATAGATATATAGTCACCTAGCTTTTTAGGCATCTTTAGAATGCTATTTTCAAAAGTCACCAGGATCAGTCTAACTCTGCTCCTCATAACAGATGATTGAAATTTACTATCGGCTTATATGGAAACATAATTAATTTCCACCAGACATGTCTGTAAATCAAGACATGTATACTTATGCCAGATTAATACTTTTTATTAGCACTCTGCTGAGTGCTCTAAATATGTGTGCATTACCTTATCTCCCTATAGAGTTTAAGGAACCATTGTCATAGACTATGAAACTCCATTTCATCAAACCTCATTCAATAGGCCCTTAGTTCTCTACCTGCCTTTCCTCATTTTTGCTTCTTAGCAAGATGACTCTGTGAATAGAAGCTTTATTTTGCATTTTATCATGTACCAAGTACCTGATATATTCAGTGATGCCACAGTTCATTATTACTAGCCTTTCAATTCACAATACAACCAGTTCTGGAACTGTGAAATGGTGACCAGACTATACAATCACTGTGTGAATCACAAATTGGAGTGAATAAAAGAGGAAACATTTCACATATAAATATCTAAGTAATCAACTAACCCCCTCCCCATCATAAATGCAGAACTAATCTAAAGCAATTTGATAACACTCAAGCATTGTGATGGTTTTTGAGAAAAAGTTAATGATTTTGTAAGGAATGGCAGAGCCAACACCATCTTAATGTGAGCCTTGCCTGAGTAAAGGTTTCAGATTTAGGCCAAATTAGATCCATAAATGATTTAATTTATTAATGAGGACCATGGTGCTAAAATAGTTATTGCGCTACCTAAATATATATAGATTTTCATAGTTTCATAGTTAGTAGGGGTGGAAGGGACCTGAGCAGATCATCAAGTCTGGTCCCCTGCCATGGCAGGAAAGAGTACTGGGGTCAAACGACCCCAGCATGGTGTTCTTCTAATATACACACATATATAGACACACATAAATATGATGTTAATGTGAAAACTGTACACTTTATGGATTGTTTCAGTCATTTATACTCACACACAAAATATTTTTTTTAAAATACTGTATGTTTATATATAGTGTGATTTCTAAATGTATTCCATTTTCTTTATAACTGTTAAAATGTGAAATAATGTATCACCATAGATTACACGAAGTACAGATCTATAAATAAATAAAGCCAAAAACTCAGATATTTACCAGCAGTATAGCATGAATTGTTTGGATAAGACTGAGGCATGTTTTGGATACAACGAAATAATGTCACCAAGCTGAGATCATCACCAAATACATGGGCCTTTTTCCTCTGTATTAGATGTCCCATAGCAAATGTTGTATCAGTATATAAAACCTAAAGAATGAATAAAAGCAGATTTTAAATGCACAGTATGAAGATTTTAAAAAGTCAGCTATTACATTTCAAATAAATATTGTTACCTGGCCATAAATGAAAAAATAACCTGTTTCCTTGACCACTATTTTATTTCCTTGTTCTTCCAAAGCTGTTCCTCGTTTAAAGCTGAGAAGCCATGGGACAATGCTTGAATCATCTAAAAGAGAGAGAGAGAGAAAAAGAAGTGTTTCTGGTAAGAGGAACCTTCCTCCCTCCCCCATTCCCCCTGCAGCTCCAACCCT